ACATATTCTACAACTTGGTTAAGATTATTTATTCTAAGTAATCTTCCATCAAAAACTCATTTTTGACGCTCATTGTCTCTAAATTGACTAGTCCGGATCTGCGGGCGTTACAGAATGTGATAATGAATATTATCCATATATATATATATATATATATATATATATATATATATATATATATATATATATATATATATATATATATATATATATATATATATATATATATATATATATATGTAGACAATATTTATTTTTGCGGTTTCGATTGAATAATTGCTTTTGAGTATTTAATCACATGTGATTATATGTATATAATCACATATGATTTGAGGTGGACAAGATTCATTTTTGCCTTCTCGGTTCAATAGTTGTGCTCATGTACTTAATCACATGCGATTAAACATATAATCACATGTGATAAAATACATGAGAAAAACTATTGAATCGACAAAGCGAAATGAATTGTGTGATTAGATTTATATAATCACATGTGATTAGATGTATTTAATCGCATATGATTAATTTGTATAATGATTTGTTTTTATGTTCTTGGTTCAATATTTGTTATCATGTATATAATCACATGTGATTGTATGTATCTAATCACATATGATTTATATAGACAATATTCATTTTTTCCAAATAAAATCATATGTGATTAGAATCATATAATCACATCTGATTAAATGTATTTAATCACGTATGACTAAAGTGGAAAAAAACAATTACTGAATCGAGAACGCGAAAATGAATCTTAGCCACATAAATCATATGTCATTAGATATACATAACCACATGTTATTATATGTATCTAATCACATATGATTTATGTGGACAATAATCATTTTCATGTTCTCGATTCAATAGTTGTTATCCTGTATTTAATCACATGTGGTTACACATATCTAATGTAACTCACCTCCTTAGAGTTAATGTAACTCACCTCCTTGAACTTGAAAATCAGCTAGCATGAACAAGATGGACATTTCTTTTCGAGAACCTACACAACAATTATAACATTATTTATCTTGTGCTTTGGTTTAGTACTTTTATAAAACTTATGTATATATTTTCTTATTTTCTCTTTGATTGTAGTGCGCTTTTGGGGATCTGTTTTCTTACCCTTCAATGCATTCTTAAATTTCGATAAAATAATATTGGTAAATTTCCCCCTTTTATCTTTTCATAAATATAAAGATCTTATTCTAATGATTTTTGGTTGATTTTATATTAAATTTACAAGTTAGTAACTTTAGGTTGTCACTTTCTGGACCACTCAACACTCTTGGAATAAATTGTACCAATCTACTAAGAATTACATCAGTCCTTTTATATGTGGGAAACTATACATCCATATCTAATTATAGGATTTGGAATTTTTGGCATTTGGAGTTCTAATGAATTTATTATGATTTTTTGAAGACAATGCATGAAATTTGTGACAACATGGACCAGCCTTAGAAGATTGCCAATTTTACCCCTCAAGGAGTTGGAATTTCGAAATGTGATTCAACGTTTGAAGAAACTAGACAAACTAAGATTTCCATAAAACTAAGTCTCATGATTTTTAGATGTTCTTATTGACCTGCACGAATTTTAGAAGTTGGAGGACAGATTTGGGAAAATTGATCATAATAGCTTTTAAATCACTTTTGGTGTTCTATTAAGGACTTACTGGTTAAGCCTTAAGTTTATCACTTTTTATATGATTGTTGGTTACTTATTAGGATATTAAGATGTGAAATTCAATTTAACCTAAGGGCCTTAATGCTTGGCTTAATGAGGGTTCAAAGTTAAGGATTTTCACATAAAATACTACTTTTTCATTGAGGCATTTCATCGTACACTTGATGTTCATAAAAAAAATCTATACAAATATCAACTTTACTAGCTATTGTGATTGTGTGTGTGTAATTATAGAGATAAGAGTGACCACCTGCAACGTTGATAAACTCTACAAATATCAACTTTACTAGCCGAAAAGTTCACAAATCCATTCTGATGTATTATGTGTAGATAATATATTGAGTTATTGATGGGTACCAAGGTCTAAAGTGGAATAAAAGGAAAAGGAGAAGACAGAGATTGCATATTCAGATAGTCAAAGCAATGTTCACTAACACAAAAGGAGGACACGAACTCAACTCAAGATGAAGGGTAAAAGATATAATTCCGATCGGTTAGAAAAGTTGGTAAAATTAGTGACAATTTAGAGATTAATTATAAGTTTGAAGAATAAACAATAAAAGAAGAACCTACCAGATTGAGTTAGCGGTGGAGATTTGATATGATGAAGAAAGATCAAGAACAGGAAGCTCCACAGATTCCACCATTTCTGCTCGAATATCCAGTTTTATTCCGCTCTCTGTTTTGCTTAGATTGCTAAATATAAGTCTTTTCCACCTCTATATTGTATATACAATTGACATTTGAATTTGGTTTCGGTGTCGATTGGGGGTTGCAGAACAGATAGTTAATTATGAGCTTGACGTCGGTGGGTGAAATCGAAAATCGACTGGTTTGGCAGAGGTCTGGTGACCTCAATGGTTGTCTGGTGGCCTCAATGGTGGTCCGGTGAGAAACGATACGTCTAGATAGAATGGTGGAGTGGGGGTGGGTGGGATATTTTTTTTTAAATTATAAAATTGTTCTCAAATGTTCTCAATCTCAAAATTGTTCTCATTTGAACATAACTCTCTCTCTCTCCATCTCTCTCTCTCTCTCTCTCTCTCTCTATATATATATATATATATATATATATATATTATATATATAATATATATATATATATATATCTATTATATATATATATATATATATATATATATATATATATCTCCCTTTCTAATAAATAAATAGGGTTAATCTCATTCTGACATGTGTCATGCCATGTATCAAACTATTAAATCAATATTACGCCACGTGTTGTTGTGTTGCTTCTCCAATTTGAATTTCAATTGCTGTCTTGCTTCTCCAATTTGAATTTCAATTGCTGTCTATCCCATAAAATCAGCCATATCTTCATCACAATCCCAATAAATCAGGGGAATGATAAAAATCGATTGAGATATACCTCCTATTTCTCACTCTGAAAACCCCAACAGTCATTCAACACTCTTTGCAATCGTTGCTTTTGATGGCCGCTACCTTCTCTTCCACAACCACCATCGGCTATTTCCTCACCCTTTCTCTCTACCTCCAGGTTTCTATCTTTCTCAATCCAAAGATCTCAGGAAGTCGCAACTTCTCTTTCACCTTTTTCACAAGTTTACACAACGAGTAAAAAGAATAAAATGATCCATTCCAAGATTATGCATCTAAGTTCACATATATGGTATATGTCTCATTTTGACGTTCTTTCATATCGTTGACAAGTAGGTTTAACTTTTTTTTTCTCAGTCATCTATAAATTAGTGAGCGATTTTGATGACGTCCTGAAAATACTATGTGAGACTAAGAAACAACATATCGCATCAAAGGACCAAATTTATTTTACTTACGGAAAATATCTTAATGTTTATTTGAATAGTTGAAATATTTTTGAATATTGTTATTAAGTATGAAGATAGTGGTGGTTGTGGCTTATCTTCTTTTAGAACACAAAAAATATTGTGACATTTCAATGTGAGCCCTCTGAAGGTGTAAAAGGTGTGCCATCTTTTTGTATAAATTAGGACCATTTATGTAAAATTTTAAGTAGGGATATTTAAAACATGGATCATTTATGTAATATTTCACCAAGGAACGATTCATGTAATATTATTTTTAAGAGAGGGACCATTCATATAATATTTTAGACATGAACCATCCATGTAATATTTTTTTAAGATTGTAATATGATAACTTACATTGCATTACATAATTATAAATTGGCATTGCAATATAGCATTGTACTTTCAAAGTACGATGCTATTTTATGGAAAAAAATAACAGGGAACTTTCATGCTTATGTTCCAGAAATAGCAATACAGTTTCCAAATATTTCTATAAATACCAACATATGTTCTAAATTTTATTGGATATCCGAATGCAATTTCTATAAATTTAGTAGAAATAGCAACATACATTCTAAACTTTTTTCAAAATAGTTATGTAGTTTTTATAATAGTTTTGGAAATATCCATGTACTTAATTCCTATATCTATTTTGAACATTGACCATTTCTATAAACGTAATTACACAGTAATTTTATATTTACTATAACACAGACCATTCCTGTTAATTTACTTGAACATGGACCATTCTATAAATCTAATTACACAGTAAGTTTATATTTACAATAACACGGACCATTCCTGTAAATTTACTTGATCATTGATCATTCTTGTAAAACTACTGTAACAGGGATCATTCTTATAAGTTTACTGTAACAAGGACCATCCCTATAAATTTACATGTAAAGGTATCATTCATTGTATTAACTGTTTAATACCCTTCTAATATTTGAGTTTTTGTTCATTAAAATTGGATTTATAAAACCTCATCTGCTTAACATAATGATTTTTTTTCTTGGATTGAAATGATTTTTTTTATGGAGTTTGATTTTTTTTGTTAATAAAAGACATCAGTCGTTGTGTCCACGGGTTATAACCTAATATATATATATATATATATAGAGATATATATATATATATATATATATCTATCTATATAGCTATATATATATATATATATATCTATATATATATATATACCATTTCTGTAATTTACTCATTAATTTATATACTTTTTTTCAACGAGTAAAAAAGTTTTACTATTTTCTTTATTTTAATGAAAAACAAGCTAAAAGAAATCCACGTGCGTGATTATATATCTTTTTATATCTTAAAATATATGTTCTACTTTCGTCGGAAACACACATTATATGATCCTACTGTACAGTAGTATGCCGCCTTGCCACGTGGCCGCGTTTCAAGTTTTAGTCAACCGCGCGTTATTCCGGTTTCCCCTGAACCGGCTATATAAACTCGCTCAATAGTCATTTTTCTGTATACTAAATGGCGCCTAAACAAACAATCTCCGATTCTGCTAAAATCAACAGTAACATGGAGGCGCACTTTAGAGGAGTTAGGAAGAGACCATGGGGGAGGTACGCCGCCGAGATCCGTGATCCCCACAAGAAAACTCGTGTCTGGTTAGGCACCTTTGATACGGCGGAGAAGGCCGCTAAAGCTTACGACGCGGCGGCGCGTGAGTTTCGTGGTCCTAAGGCGAAAACTAATTTCCCTATGTATGATTACAAGGGCTTGAGTCAATACAGTCCGAGTCAGAGCAGTACCGTTGAGTCTTCGAGTCGCGATCCGGAACCGGTGGTGGCGTTGGATCTCAACCTCTCGTACGGCGTCGCTGCTACCTCAGATGTGGAAAACCAAAACGGATTTTTCACGCCGCCGGCGAGTCAGGTACAGATGCTTTACTTTAACGAAAGCCTTTCCGACGTTCCTTTCCGGCAACATGTTGCTGCTCACTGCGAAGACTCCGACTCGTCGTCAGTTGTCGACGGGAATCCGTCTTCGTCGCCGCGGCTTATCGGAATCGATCTCAACTTTCCGCCACCAGAGGAATAAAAATTCGAAAGCATAGATATTGTACTATTTGTATAATTTAGTGAACAAGGTACAACTTAGTTACCGATAAGATCTTTCACTGCCGATCATCAGCGTCGCTGCCGTGTGTGTGTAAATACCAGATCCGATCTTCGGTTTTTCTTTTGCAACATTTAGATAAAATCTCAGTGTAATTTCTCCTCTGTTGGTGGTAAAACGAGAACATGATGTTATATATTTTAGCAGAAGATTTTGCAAATTGTTCTTAAATGCAAATTATTTTTCTGATTTCAATTTTGTTTTGAGTTTAAAGCTGTTGGTATAGTCGCCGGCGGGAATTTGGGGTTCTTATAAAATTTTCCCGACAGTCTCATGGGCGACACGTTTTCCTTGTTTGGCATCTCAATGATACCAATGCGACAAACTTGTCTTTTTATTTCTTTTACTCTCCCCATATTTATCATGTATAATCCACTCTCTATATTTAGGGGTGTTTGGATCAGCTTATTAGCTTATTTGTGGTGGGAATAAGCAATAAGCAAAAATCATGGGGAGAGATGCTTATTAAAATTAGCTTATTTAGCTTAATAAGCTGATTTTTAAAGATTTTATCCAAACACTCAAAGTTAGCTTATTGTGGTGGGAATAAGCAATAATAGGGATGAGCAAAAGGACCGAACCGGTCGGAACCGGACCCGACCCGGGAACCGGCTTCGGCCAAAATCAAGAACCGAACCGGCCCGGTGGTTCTACCGGTTCTTGTCGTGTCTTCAAATGTTGGAACCGGTTCTCGAAAAATAGCATCATACGGTTCCGGTTTTTGCCGGTTCTATCGGTTCCGGTTATATCGGTTCCGGTTCCTACCGGTTCCCGGTTCCAAAAATCCACAAAAATAACGTCCCGGTCCCGGCCCGACCGGTTCCATCGGGTTCCGGTTCCGATACCGGTTCCGGCCGGTTCCCCGGTCCATATGCTCATCCCTAAGCAATAAGCAATAAAATCGAAAAACCGAACCGATCCGGTCAAGCCGAAACCGTGAAAAACTAAAACCGAAAAAACCGGATATATACGGGTCGGTTTCTTTTTGGATATTTAGATATCCGTGGATATCCAAACCGAACCGTATTATATATATATATATATATATATATATATATATATATATATATATATATATATATATATATATATATACTTTACACATTATTGAAGCATTAGTTCATTAAATTAAATGTTTTTATTTTAGTCCTGCGTATATAATTGATAGGTATGTCTTATGATTTATTAGTTGTGGTTATTAATGGAACATTGAAGAATAATCTGACTATTTGACTAAATTAAACTCTTAATACATACCTTGTACCGGTTAACGGCTTTACACCTCTTTTGTTTTTTTTTCTCAATTTTTTTATATTTGTTTATGTTATTATGCATGATATTTTTTTGTGTCAAATGTATCAATGTATGGTATCTTATTTATGTCTATGTATCAGATTTATCATTTTATTTGATAATGTATGGTGTTAGAACTCCAACAAAAATTGATTTTTTTAGTAGGTAACCGTGAACCGAACCGTGGTTACCCGCCTTTATACGGCTCGGTTCGGTTCGATTACGGATAGTGCATGTAAGGTACCCGCCCCGTGGTCACGGTTCATAATTTTATTATTATCCGCACCGAACCGCCCCGTGAACACCCCTACTAAAAATCTCGTCATGGCTCCAAGGCTTATGGCTGCCGCCAAACTTTACCAAAATTCCGCCTTAACTCATATACGTATATAAAATAGAGTAATAGTTGAAAATACGTATAAAATATTAATTATATACAGAATTGCCGTCTTAAGTCACGCCTTACAAACGACGTGGCTTGCCAAGGCTCGGAAAAACTTGAAGTTTGACATTGTCGCCAAGTCACGCCTTACGTTATTTAGAACCTTGATATTTAGAGTAAATTACACGAATTGTCTTGTGGTTTGTAATAATTTGTACGTTTAGTTCATAACTTATTTTTTAATTCGCACCATCCTATGATATGTTTTTATTGTGTGTTTGGTCTCTGACTCAATTAAAAATATTATTATACTCGTATCAATATATTTTTTAATTATTTTTATTATATATGTATTTCTATACTGGCCCACTTAACCCTCACTTACCCCATTCCTTACTCATTCCTCACCCATCGCTTTCTTCATTTGACCAACCACTCCTACTTTTACCTTGTCTGCCATTTTCGAAACTCACTTATGAGCATAATACCAAGAAAATGAAATTAAAGCTAATCAATTGAAGTGAGCTTACAACCAAAGAGTTATGAGGAACAAGATCGTGTCCAGGTTTCCTCTCATTTTCCCTCATCGTCCCTGTTAGGGCCAGGATCCCGGAATTATATTCAGGATCCTCAAACCTCAGGATCCTCAAAAATACTTCAAGATCCTAACTATTATCATTTATTTTCCTAACATATATAACAGTTATATGCTTTGTTATTTTTCTCACATGTGCAGAAATAACCAGCCAAAGACTTAGTCTCAACAAATAGTCATCATGACCATGCTAAAGACCCGGAAGACCAAGTCATATAACGTCTATAAGTTGATCTCGGAGGATCCCGAAATTGTCGAACTTCTTGTTATTAGCTTTAGACTATAAAAAACACATGTATTCATCACACTACACACGACACTTAGCTGAATTACGATACTTGTACTTGCTTTTCATATATTCTTCTTTATAATCAACATCTTCAATCAATAAAACTATCAAGGCAGGTAATCATTATCACCTCCCAAGGTTTTGTGTCGGAGATCCTAACAAGGATCAAGGGATTTCCTTGTAAATCACTCGTGTTACTTTGATCATCGTTTGATATTCATTCTACCCTGAACATCATAGCCTCTCATATAATTTGGTTAATTATTGATTGTTCATTTTTTGACCAAAACTATTTGGCGCCCACCGTGGGGCCATGGTGTTTAAAATCCTTCGAAAAATCATGTCTACAGAATCATCCGTATCCTCTTTCTCAATTCCTCCCATTGCCTCCAAAAACCTACCACCACCTCCGGCTGGAGCTCCCAAGAAAGCCTCAGAAGCACCGAAGAAAAACACATATCTGGTCGTTACCCCAGGACTCCAGGATCCTCCTATGCTGATTTCCAACAATGAAATCTTCGCTATGATGAAAAGACTAGAACGACAAGTCGCCCAGCAGCAGGAGGATAACAGGACAATTCTCAAGGAAGTGGAGAGAATGAGGACATAAATCCACAAGCCTCAGGAAGCAGCACCCTCGATCTTGTAGCCCAAGATCCTGAGCTTTGACAACACGCGATCCTCAACGATTCGCCGCGAGATAGGATCCTTAATATCGGCCTTTGCTCCTGCCTGGGGCGCGACTCCGAGAGAACAAGCCCATACGACCCAGGATCCCAACGCAACCTTTGTTACTCCTAATAACAAGGATCCTGGTAACCCCGTCAATAACAATATATTTACTACTAACTCAATAGATCTTGATACAAGTTTAAGCCCGATCATGGCTAAGGAGCTCCAACAACTAAGACAAATGATCTCGAGCGTGCCTGGAGTAGTTCAGCCTGTACCAGAAGTATCCCCCACAAGCCACACGATCTCAAGATTTGTTCCGACAATAGCTGACACCAAAGTCCCAAAGCGCTTCCAAACCCCCAGCATGAAGCCTTATGATGGGACTACTGATCCTGAGGAGCATGTGGCTGTTTTGGTCAAAAAATGAACAATCACTAATCAACCAAATCGTATGAGAGGCTGTGATGTTTAGAGTAGAATGAATATGAAATGATGATCAAAATACCACGAATGATTTTCAAGGAAATCCATTGATCCTTGCTAGGATCTCCGACATAAAACCTTGGGAGGTGATAATGATCACCGGCCTTGATAGTTTTATTGATTAAAAATGTTCATTTCAAAGATGTATGTTTGAAAAGCAAGTACAAGTATCGTAGTTATGCTAGTGTCGTGTGTAGTGTCATGAATACAGGTTTTTCTTATAATCTAGAGCTAATAACAAGAAGTCCGACAATTCTAGGATCCTCCGAGATCAACTTATAGACGTTAGTTGACTTGGTCTTCCGAGTCTTTTCAATGGTAAAGATGACTATTCGTTGAGAATAAGTCTTTTGGCTAACTATTTCTGCACATATGAGAAAAATAACAAAGCACATAACCATAATAAACGTTAGGACAATAAACAATAATAGTCAGGATCCTGGAGTATTTTTAAGGATCCTGAGGTTTGAGGATCCTGAATGTAATTCCGGGATCCTGGCTCTAATAATTGACCCCAAATTATTCCTGTGAAATATTTGAGGTTAGTTTGCAAATATTTAAAGGGATAATTTAAAATAAAAATAAAAAAGAAATAAAAGTGATAAGGGATTTGAATTTTAAACCCTAACGGATAGAATTTATCCGTTCAATAATCATCATTAACCGGTCAAATTGACATTTCTCTTTCTTTTGTCATCAACATAAATAGAGGCTATCGATTGGAGCTATTCTTCCTCGCGTTCTTTTAGTTTTCATCCAAGGGTTTATCAGTCATGTTTGAAGGTATTCTTCTCACTTCTTCTTCTTAGTTTTCTTTTTACTGACAATGGGCAAGAAAATGACCATCTCTCATAAGAACATTCTCGCTCCTCCTGAGGATGATTTTATCGATCAAAAAATCATGTCGTACGACGAGATATGTTCTTATGATGAGGGTGATATCGAGTCATCGAAATCGGCTGTTGCTTTCCACGATGATGTTGGTTTCAAACCTTTCAACCCGAAGTATCAATCTAATTTCGTCTCCTCCTTTTGGGTCTGCTTCTCCGAATACCCCTTTTCTTTGGGTTTGAAGTACCCCTTTTCTGGAATCATCTCCAAATTCTTTGAGGTCACTAAAATCTCCTTCATTCAGTACATTCCTATTGTTTTGGAGGATCTTGTTCTGGATCGATAAATTGAACCAGTCCAAAGACCTAGACATA